AGATAGATAGATAGATAGATAGATAGATAGATAGATAGATAGATAGATAGATAGATAGATAGATAGATATGGGAGTTTTATAATCTGTTTCTGACTGAACCTGGTGAAGGTTAAAGAGACAGCTTTTGTTTGTGTTGTGGGGAGACTTTTCGGGGGGAGTTTGTTCTGAGTAAGCTTCAGCCGGATTCTTCATTTAGATGAATGTTTAATGTTCAGCACAAAAATCTGTTTTTCATGTAATACTGAAGCATATTTTTCACTAAAACAAATTGAGAAAATTGAAGGTCTGGGTAAAATCATCTGGAAATAGAGTAAAACACTTCCTCGCAAGTAACTTTTCTGTCCTTTTCTTGTCAAAATAAGCATACAAAACCTCCTGACTGATCTTTGAGGCTTCGGTGTTAAAAGCAGAACAGAGTTTAACACTTAGAGAAAATGATCCAGTTTCTCTGGAATTTCTCTGGATATTTCAGACTGGGAACGTTTAAAAAAATCTGCTCCCCCCTTATTTTAAAGGAGGACCATGTTTCTTAAGCCTTGCTCATCTTTCTTCCTGAGACTCTGCCTCTCTAAGGTGCTCTCTAACTGGGCTGTTAGATGTTCACATACAGCTGTTTCCTCTCCTTCTCCAGCCTTTTGCTGGATGTAAAGAAGAACTCAGACTAAAACCAGTCCGGCTCTCGGCTTCTAAGCGGATATTTTGGCTGTAATCGCCGCTTTCTGCTGCCCTTTGAGCCTTATCGGAGACGGAGAGGCGGCTCACCGTCTTCTGCCGGTGCATACACTCGTAGAAGTCCTCAAACTCCAGCTGGCACTCCTTCTTGGCGCGGGTCTGCCCGATGCCGTGGGAGCACTCGACCCACTCCTTCTCGAAGGCGTGGCAGCGCGCCGCCCGCTTGTTGGGCTGCTCGCCGCTCTGCAGCACCAGCCAGCGGTCCAGGTTGATGCCCAGCCGCGACTGCAGGTCCACGAACGGCATGATGGGGGGGGGGGGGGGCAGAAGGGGGAGTTATGACACAGATGAATCACCTCTGTTCCATTTAACAACAGAGTTAAAGGTTAAAGGTCACAGAGAGTCACACGTTTGAGGACCAGCTGATATAAAGGAAGAGACAGAGGAGGCTCCAGGAGCAGCTCCTCTCTGGGAAGAGTCTCCAGGAGCCTTTGGTTGCCTTTTGGCTGCTGCCCTTGGCTCCGTTCTCTGTCAGATGATCCCACACTGCTTCATGATGTGGAGCTCTGGCTCTGGAGGATCCATCCCTCCATCAGAGCTGCTGGGGTTCAGTCCACTTCTGGTTGCTCTGGCAGAGCGACACCTTTCCTCCCTGTTTCCTTCCTTCAGAGGGGCTTCTTGACAGCCCCCCTTCATGGAGAGCATTTCTGATGAGGCCACCAGGAGACGGTCAGCTGGAGGTCCAGATGCAGCTCTCAGCTCCTGTTCAGCTCTCTGCTGGATCTGTTCCTCTTTACCTTTCAGATCCTCTTCATCTGCTGGAGATCGGTTCAAACAGCCTAAAGATCCACTTTAAACTGCTGCTCTGCTGAGTGTAGCTGCTCAGTCAAAGGAAATTGAGGGCTGGATCTTTTTTTATTTCTTTAGGATTTCTTTAACGTCATGAAAACCAGATCAACTTTAATTACGTCTTCTATGGGTTTAGCTACATTTGATTATCCAGACATTTGTTCACAATAGAAATAAACAAAAACGCAAACATACATATGAAAGTGCTGAAACATACATATAAACGTCCAGTTACTCTGTTGGTTATAACAGAGGACGAGCAGCAGCAGTTAGCCGTGAAGCTAACGGTCGTTCCCGCATTTCCCCGACATTTTCTGAACAAATAACTCCAAACCTGGCCTCCCATCTCTGATAAAAAAACGAATAGTTACAGTTGTTCATAGAAAGTGTCGGCAGCTCACGTTGTGAGAGACTTTCCTTCAATGACAGCAGGGCTGTTCGTGCTAACCGCTAACTGCTCCCTTTCTGCTAACTTTACCCCACAGGACTCCAAAACCGTCGACGATTTCTGTCGAGCAGATCTTTAAGGTGCTACTTGTCAGAAGTTTCCCGTTAAAATGTCATATTTACCGTGTTTAGATGATTTCTCGGAGTGACTTTAACCTTCCTCCGGATGAACGGTTTTACGGCTCAGCAAAACACTGCCGTAAAGCGTTCGTCTCTGCCGTAAAGAGACGCAAGTTCTTCTACTTCTACCCATATTTTTAGTTTTTTTGTCTATCACGGTTCATGAACTCGTTATGGGTTTGTAAAAATATAAAATAAACAAGGTGTATGATCTATTCTATTTTCTATATGCCTGTCCTCTGTTATAACCATTAGAATAACAATTCTATTTATATACACACACTCCCAAAAATAGCCAAATCTTAAATAATGCACAATTCTAGTGGTGGGAGCGTGTAAAACTGATATTAGATATATATAATACTGATATTAAAGACTTGAGGGAGTAAATTAAGTTAACTGTAAAAGTCATTAACCATGAAAGGTGCAGGAAATGTAATAAGATATTTCTAAATACTACTTGTGCTAATCTTTTCAAGAACGTGAGAATCCATCCATGTGAACTTTGACAGACATCCTGTTATTTTCAGGAATTGTGTCCCTCTGCATCCTTTATAGATCAGATAAATGTCTGCAGTCTTCATAGATTTATTGGCTTTTTACGGATGTTTCTCATGGAGAAGAACCCTCACAGTTTGTCATTTCTGGCTCCAGAAACTTCAATGTTTTTACTTTCAGAGCAGCTATTGAACAAATCTGTAGGATTTCTGACTTTTTCCACTCAGAACTGAGGAGTCATTTTATATAACTGACCTCTGCTTCTGGAAAAAAGGGGATTATACATCAGTGAGTTGGTCATGTTGCAGAAACAGGAGAAAATATTTAGTTATTTTTCTCCTGTCCCAAAAAAGGCAGAATCTCTGACTCTTTCTGAGCGGAGATCCACAGACACCAACAGGATTAATGAGCAGACAGAACACCACTGGAGGCTGAGTTCATGGAAATATAAAGTTTTTAGGGGGTTAAGATCATTTTAGGAGGGGTGAAGCCTCCTTAAAGCAGATCTAAAGACACCTCTAGTTCATTTAAATCAACAACAAATCACCGCTTTGCTGCAACATTGGATTGTGTTTATTCGTTTTTCCTCCTGTCGTCTTTCACAGTCCTGCATGTTCCCCCCTTCATCGGATCGGGGCTCAACAGTGACAGGAAATACACAAGCTGTACAATAACACTTAAATATTGCCATCTATAAACCTTCTAAAAAAAACAAAAAAAACAAACAGCCGTGTTCCAGACAGAAATAAACCCTCTTCCAGCTTTTAAAGGAAGTCCAGTTTCCCCTCTGTGGTACATTCATGTGTTTCCAAACAGGCTGAAACTAGTGACGAGTGCAGACCCAACAAAGCACCGCAGAGTCGTGTAAGCAGGGAAATCCATAAAGCTACTCTGAGATGAAAAAGGTTCCCCAGTCGGACCCCCTCAGGGATTAAAGGGAAGCCTTTCTGAACAGAAGCACAGAGGTGATACAAAGCTGAGAGACGAGTCAGGCTGCGACCCAGAAACGCTTCGAAACGTTTGGCTCCAAAAGTAACAAAACAAAAAAAACAAGCGTCTGAAAGTGACATTAGCTCGTAGAAATGATTAGCACAACACAAATTTATAAAAAGAAAAATATAAAACACAATAAGTTACGCAGAGTCTTTGCATCACAGCATTGATAAAAACACTTTTCATGTCTTTGAATCCAAAAATACTGACGGATAAACATGAAAAAATAAAGGTTTTGGAGCCAAACTTTTCTTCAGTTACATCCAACATAAAAGGCCCTCTGGTAGATGATTGTTTTGGTTGTACCACAGACTTTTGTATGCAACTCAAGTAAAGTGTGTAACATCAACAGATGAGCAGAAGCAAAAAAAAAGAGGAAAAGATAAATTAGATCAATTCAGGTAAAGTGCACATGTGCTCAGTTGAATACAAAAAAAGGAAAAAGTGGGACAGATACATTCATCAGGCGCTCACACAGACAGCCAGCTAATGGGAACCAGGACCCCCCAAACCAGTTGTGCTGGTCAGCGAGTGGCGATAAGGCAGCCGGCCGTCAAACCTTGGTCACATGACCCCAACCGGTGGGGGAGCTCTGACCTCTGACCCCCCCGAGCCTCCAGCCAGCAGCATCCTGACGCCAGAGCCTCCAAACCTGAAAGCAAGCTTTCCTGTTCATGACCGAGAGAAATGTGGATTTTTCAATTTAAAATGTAAACATTTCTATTTGAAATTTTTGTTTTTTTAATTTTGAAATTTAAATGTTTTAAATTTTAAACTTTTTTTATTTAAAACATTAAAATTCCTAGAATGAAAAAAAGAAATAAATAAAAACATTTAAAATGTAACCGATAATTGAGAGAAATCAGATCTAAATGTTCCTGAGCTGGAGCCACCGCCTGCTACAAAAAGGCTTCAATACAGATTTATTCACCTTTAGTTCAACTTTTAAGTCCACTCAAAGGCTTCTTTCCCACAGCTTCACCCACATCTGGTGGTTTTCTACAGTGGAAACTGGAACATCCATCCATCCATCCATGTTGACGGCAGGTTCGATGCAAAGCTCGCTCCTTTTTTTGAGTGCGTTTTCCTTTTGTTGCAGCTTAATTGAGCCCTTTTTGTGATTTTGACCAATAAATCTGAAAATTAAACTCCCTCTGCTTTAAAACGCTAGGATTTCATTACAGAAAATCCTAAAAAAAGTCAAGCAAAATAAGGGAAAATTTGATTTACTTTTTTTCCCCCTGACAAATCTAAAACTTTTGAGTGTTTCCCGGTCATTTATTTGTGCGGACGCAGAGTAAAATGCTGCTTGAGGCTCCCCCACATGGTCAGAGCTCCCTCACTCGCTCATTTCTCCAGCGTGAACGCTTATTCCCCCCCTCTTCATCCTCCTCCTCCTCCTCAGTGCAGGAAGAGCGACATCAGCCTCGTCCCCAGAAGTAAACTTGTGTAGCAGAAACTCGACGCTCATTCAGACAGCTCATGCAGACCCGTGCACGCAGCCCCCCCCCAAAAAACAAAAACAAAAACAAAGAGACAGGTCCACAGGATATAAATAAAGGGAAATAAAGCCATAACTCATTCACTCATTCCATTCCTCTGCTGTGCTTGGTGACCTTTCACCTCATTTTATCATCTCAGTTTTGCAACGTTTCTTAGAAATTTGTACCTTTTTTCTTATTTTTCTCTCTCTTTTGTTTTTTTTGTGTTTTTTTTTT